ATGCTCTCAGGCTATGGCTGGGTGTAGGATGACAGCAGATTAGCCAGAACCATGGATTCATTTGAGTGAGAAAAGGAAAAGAGCCAAAAAAGGAAGCAGTGCTGGTTTCTAATGCCTCACTCTACACCGCAGTGAGCACCTTGAGGTCTGTCATCGCACGGTTGGTTTGTGCTCCCAAGATTTCTTCACATTCTAGTAAAGATTAACTTTGTCCTTGAATGAACTTAGTGTGTGCGGTAAGAAAAAAGGATTTGGGTCTGCCTGAGGTTATAACAAGTCAGGGAACCCTGAGAATCTGCCCTTTTTTTTTTTTTTTTTTTTTTGGCTTGTGGACACTGGCAGTGGAATGTCCAGGACATCACTGGGGGTTCTATGGCTTCACGACCAATGAGGTCAGGAGCCCAGTGGCTAGGTCTGCTCCAGAATGGTCAAGGATGTGGGCTTCCCGCCGCCTCTCACCTCTTTCACTAACTGGGGGCAGTTTTTCTTCCTTACCTGGGAGAGCGGGAGCTCAGCTTAGGGAGATGCTGAGCCTGATTGTTCCTAGGCCCCACGTCCCTGCCCTCCCAAGGTGCAGAATGAGGGAGCTCCTGGGCGTCCATACTGCAGATCTTCCCTGGTAGACCAGCCAGCTCCACTGCCCTTTGAGCCCCTACTCTTACGTTCCTCTGTGTGACAGCCACCAGTGGCCTAGCAGCAGTAGCTGACCAGGACAAGGCCTGGGCCATGGGTGTCCCTGCTGCCTGTGTTTGAGCAGATTATTGATGACAGCAGGCCTACAAAGTGTCAAGAGATGACCCATTTCCATTAAGACTACGTTTTAGTAGGAAACTTTGCATGAAGCTGATTTTAAATTATTAAAAAGTAAGTTGCCTTTCCAAGCAAAGCTAGTAAGTCTCAGTAGTCCTGTGTACTTTAAATTAGATTTTATTAGGAGAGGGAATAACATGCCATAGATTATAATATCTCAAAATCATTTGGTGCCACGCTATGTATCAAATATGTAAGTTGTGATTTACCATTTGTAAAACTTGACTGACAGGAGTGGTTTGGACAGATTTAATTTCTGATAAACAATGATAAACATTCACGGTATCACTCAGCTTCTCTGAATCTTTTAATCTTCTAAAGCATTATCTTTTTTTCTTTTTTAAACTCTATCCATTTCTGTCAACAAGAAGAACTGGATAATATTTTATTTATAAATGCTATTTGCAACCTGGGATCCCACTTGGTTTATAAACAGATTCTTCACATCGCCCATGCCTTTGATCATGTACTTACTCTGATGCCTAAGCCTAAAGCCATGCGAGAGCCAGGCAGGGTGACACGTGAGCCTCCCAGTGCTGGAACCCATTGCGTTCTCCAGCCACACTTGCCGATCTCTCCACAGTAGATTACTTCTGCACTGCAGTGACTTTTGTGAATATTAATCTTCTTTCTTCCTAGATATCCCTTTTATATTAAACTCCATGTCAAACACAGAAATTTTCTTTTATTCAGAATCTTCTCATGTCTGAAATAATCTGTTAACCTACTTTCCCTTTTTTTCTTTTTATACTCAGTGACTTCTAAAAATTCCAATAAACTTTACTTTTTAAACTCTATGAAATATTTGTACAATCTTACCCCTTCAGACTCTACTGATTCTATTTCTAAAACTTGATTCTAAAGGTCCAAAAACTCTGGGTCTTTCTCTGTGTTCTTGAGGTCCACACACATAGTAGTATATTTTGGAAGGTATTAAGATTGAAAATTTGGCATGATTTATCTAAACAAGTTAGTTATTTAGCAATTGTTCTTGATCCTGAAGTAAAAAAAAAAAAATTTTAAGTGTTGGCAATACAGCAGAACATCTTGAAGGTCACAGAATGCCCTTCTCCCAAATCTTTCGTGAGCCCCCCCTGGTGCTGTGGCCTCTTAAAATAAAAGTCTTAATTCCTATCCTTGATGCCTTCCCATTCTTTTTTCTCATTTAAACCACAGTCTGGTTTTCACCAAATTAAAGCAAATCAACCTAGTAAGGAACAGGCTAACTTTTATCTTTGGCTGAAGTTCTAAGCACCAGAAATGGGCAAATGAGACCAAACAAAGAAATAGGAAAAATGAGGCGGTGAAGGAGAGCCAACATTGGGTTTGGAATGGATGAGGCTTCCGTGGCGGTAGGATGTGCCTTTCTTACACTGTTTACTCTGAGCTCAGAAATAGAGGAGGAAAGAAGGTAGATCACGCTACTGCCTGAAATGGATACAGAACATACCAGGGCGTGCAGTGCGTAGAGTGTAATCAGACTCTGGATGTAATTATGCAAATGTATGCAGAAACGGTTTTTCTATGAATAAATTGTCTGCAGCAACCTTAACACTCAAGGTTAAAGTAAGCATAAGGGCGTGATTTGCCAGCCACTGAGTGACTTTGCTCAAGTAGCAGCTGAAAAACATGCTTTACTGCTCCCCTTCCCACCTCCCTACCCCTAATTTTCCATTGTTGTACCTGAATGTACTTTGAACTCTTGACAACGTGAACTTTGGATCTTAGACTGTTAGGACTTCCACTCTCTTCCTTGGGAGGGAGAATCGGGAAGAGTTACTTGGAGAATGAATGTGGCATGCTTTTTAATCTGTTCGGCCTAGTGGTACTTCAGACTAGTTGCATGTTTATTTTTAATTAATCTTCACCTGGGATGTTTTTAGTAGTAAGCATTTGGAGACCTGCTTAAAGGAAGGAAATGCTTAAATTTGCTTAGGAGAGAAAAGTACTTTCTTTGTTTTTTATGTAATAAATTGAGAACTTCAAACATACTCCTAAAAGTCCTGGGCCCAGCTGTCTGATTAGAATGCTAAGTAAGATTAATTCAGTGTTAGCATGTGGTTTTCTTTTGCATGAACACAGATAAAATACTGTGGATTATGGTCATGAAATATTCTAGAAAACTGCTGATATGAGTATTCCATGCCTCTGAGCATGGCAGAGGGCAATTAAGTTTTTTTTCCCCCCTAAGATCTATTAAGAGAGCCCACTGGAGTGTTTTCTTTTTACTTCAAGGGATTTAAAGCATCATGTAAGGCTAGGAACACATTAAAGATATATTTCCAGCCTCATAAGAAACTTAAGAATGGCTGTAATACATATAGATGAATTCAGTTGATGTTTCAAGTGCTTATCAGACATTCAGTTCAGCTCTGCAAGCCTTGATTGAACTCCCAGATTGTCCAAAGCACTGCTGTGAGGAGACCAGATGTGGACAAGATGAGTCAAAGGCATGTGCCCGATATTCTGGGATGAGTAAACAAGCAGCTCACCAGCCGGAATGTACATGTGTGGCGCTGGGGGCCACGGCCAGGCAGGAGGGGAGAGAGAAGACCAGGGGGGACTTTCTGTGGCTTGTGGAGCTGCGCAGACTGGTCCTCAGGTGCTGGGCTGTCTGGGGCAGGCCGTGCTGGTCCAAAGCTAGTGACTCTGTGAGGCTGCAGACTTACTCTTGTGGGTCAGAATGGGCAGTCTGATCAAATGAGGAAGATCTGAGAAACTGTGATCCCTAACAGGATTGCCTTGTGACTGAAAGGGCCTTTTTTATTCTGTTATCTAAAGACCGCTTTAGAGACACCACGAGTAGTTATTACCCTTCTCAGTTAGAGAATTTTCTGTGGTGCCTTTACGTTAAGGATGGCATTTCATCGTAGACCACTTTCCTTCTCTTGGTTTTGTTCATCCAAACTAGGAAATTAAATAGTTACTCAAAATGCTCCTTCATGTTCTCATTATTTTTAAAATGTATGAGCTTTGTTTCACTGTTTTCTTTTAGGGGAAAAGAAACAGTGGCTTCAGACAGTGCTTCTTTGGGAGCCAAAAGCACTGCAAGTTGACAAAGCTTTGTCCGGCAATGGGGTACACGTTCAGGCTGGCTGCTCGGAATGACATTGGCACCAGGTAAGGCGCTTCCTTGTCCTCATGCCTTTAAGCGTCTGTGTGGCGTTCCTGAGTCTTCCTGTCACGTGGGTGAAAGGCCCGGGGACGCCTCCTGCCTCCTTGCTGAACCAGTTGGAGATTTTCCAAAAGGGAATCCTAATCAGAGGCTAGAAGGCCCATGGCCTCTTTGCAGTGTTGCAGGCTGTAATGCAAAGGCCCACTAGGGGCCTCTGAGACTCAAGAGGAAGGTAACTATGGATTTTGAAAGGAATCCTCTGGGGGCTTTATTTTTTCAGATCATGTGCCATTTTCTTTCATCACTTTAGCAAGCTACTCATTGAGTTGCCTTTTTCAACTATGTGTGAGTGTTTCCTGATACAAAGAAAGAGGTGCTGGGCCATCCATTCTTGTCAGCCCCCAGCAGATACTCACAGGACTGGAGGATTAAATCTGGACCATGCGGGCACACAGCTTGCCTCCAAGCTGCTAGAGAAAGGCGAGAACAGGTTTATGGTGAAGCATCAATGGATTAAAGATGCTTTGAAAAGACCGTATTTCAGTGGCACTTCCTGGGTAACTCTTGATTAAGGGAAAAACCTTTTTCTTTCATCACTGCTTGTTGAAAATCTTCTTAGAGGTTCGGCACATCATTGGTCTCAACCTTTTTTTCCAGCCTAAGAAACTTCTAAACATCACAAGGTTTTCAGCCCTCCTTTCCTACCCATGATAACCATTGTATTTTTAGAGTCCTCTAGTTGAAAAGTTATAATGATAAAGGCTTCTCCAGTTCAAGGATTTGTAAATGAACTAGAAGCATCCACAAACTTTTGGAAAATAGCACTATGTATATTTGTAAAATTTTTATTCTGTCAATGGATAGTTATTTGTGCTCGCATTGATTGGAAGCCTCCTTGGTAGCTGTGGCTCATAGCTCATCAGCATCACATTGTGCTATGCTTTCTGCTGGGTGCTTTTGCGGGGGAAATAATTTTTAAATATATTGTCCTATAACAGTGTGTGCTTTTCTAGTAGCAGAATAAAGGGGGGAATTGGGCAAACTGAAGTCCAGGTGGGGAGTATCACACAAGGGATCCTTGCCTGCCTTTGCTCACTGAACCTGTCAGGCCCTAGACCTTCCAACCCCAGCAAGCTGCGCAAGTAGGTGGGTTTATCCCTGCTCTTTTGAAATGCCGAGACTCCTCCCAGGCTCCTGAATGTGTCACGCCAGGTCTTTTTCTCTCCAGTGGGTATAGTCAAGAGGTGGTCTGCTACACGCTGGGAAACATTCCTCAGATGCCCTCTGCACCAAGACTTGTTCGCGCTGGAGTCACATGGGTCACACTGCAGTGGAATAAACCAGAAGGTTGTTCACCTGAGGAAGTAGTCACCTACACCTTGGAAATCCAGGAGGACGAAAATGTAAGTTTGGCACATTTTATATCCTTGTGTGTGTTCTGTAAAGTCAGTTTGATCATAACTACAGGGTGCACTGTGAAATTAGATTTGCTACCTAAATTTGATACCAAACGTTTAATTTCTACCACTGCAACCACCAGCAGAAACTTGTCCTTCCCACCCACAGTCTCCCCATCTCAGTACTGGCATCCCCGACCTTTCAGTTGAGGAAGCTGGAAACCCTTGGAGCCATCCTTGACCTCATGGATAATGAGTCAGCAAATCCCTTTAAATCTTCCTTCTAAAGTTATCCAGAAATCTGATCATTTCTCAGCATCTCCACAATTACTACCCTTTTTGAGCCACATTGTCTCCACCTGGGTTATTAGAATGGCCTCGTAAGTGTTTTCCCCACCTTCATCCTTGCTACACGAGTCTGTTCTGCACACAAAGCCAGAGATCCTGTTAAATACAAATACGATCGTTCCAATGCTCTGCTCAGAACCCTTCCCATCTCGGTGCCTTCCCCTCTCTCACCGTGTGTCCTCATCAGTGTCCTTACCATGCCTCCCAGGCCCTGCGTTTCGGGGTCTTCATTTCTGCCCTCGCTCCTGCCCCTGCAGTCTCCCTGACCGCACCGAGAGTGCCCTCCCGCAGGGCCTCTGCCCAGCAGGCCCCTTCACATACGTGTGAGTCACTTCCCTCATTTCCCTCAGGCCTCTTCTCACATGTCACTTCTCTGGAGAGCCCTACCCTGACCACCCTGTAAAACAGCACTGGCCGAAAGAACGTTCTGCGATGATGGAAATGCCCTGTAACTTGTGCTGTCCAGTAAGATAGCGCCTAGCCACGCATGGCTGTCAAGCTCTTAAAATGTGGCTGTGGGCCCAAAGAACTGAATTTTTAATTGTATTTAATTTAAATTGAAAGAGCCACAGTGGCTGCCTTGCTGAACCTGCACAGCTCTGAGAGCCACACCCCCCTAGCTCCAGCACTCTGTCCTCTTACGCTGCTGTATTTTTCATCTCATAGCACTTAACACCGTGTGACATGCTTCATATTTATGTGTACAGGCTTTTAACTGCTTTCTCCACCTGTCCTATGTTTCCTACAGATAAGGCTAGGTCTGTTCTTGGGCAGTGCTAACCCCCAAGAGTGTGATGCACAGAAAGTGCTCCAGGATTGGGTGGGTGGGTGGGTGGCTGCAGGCATGATTGAGAATACTGTTGACTGAATTCTGTACATTCAATTTTCAGTGGGATATTTATCCCCTTGAAGGATTATGTCTTCCCTGTGAAAGCTGTCCTTTCCCCCTTGGCCAGAAGAGGACACTGTGTCAGAAACCCCAGGCCCGGTTTATTACATAGCACAGCACAACTTGACAACGAGGTCCTCAGTACAAGAGCCTTTTTTCATGACAGCGTTGTTAAATAAAGATTTTTTTTTAAGTACATACTGCTTTGTCGCATAGGATTTTTGGTAGTTAAATTTTTCATTTAAAACGCTTATCCAGTAACCAGAAAAAAGTTTGCTCTGTGAGAAAAGCACATGGTGGCATCTATTCCAAAGCAAATTTACACTCTCAAAGAGCGTTGTTCTCTTTGAAGTTAGTGTTAGTCTACAGTAAAGCTGCCCAGGTCCAGGGCACATTACAGTGTGGTAGAGGTACATTTTTACTTAAAGCACCTTGGGATTCTGACACTCCTTTTTTTTTTTTTTAAATGCTATAGTTGCCCCACTGGTGATGATGGAAGGAGGCAATATAAAATCCCTACATACAAGGTATTTAATGCCCAGGTTTTATGATACTGATGTTTCTTTCTGGCTTTGCCTTTTCAGGATAACCTTTTCCACCCAAAATACACTGGAGAGGATTTAACTTGTACTGTGAAAAATCTCAAAAGAAGCACACAGTATAAATTCAGGGTGAGTCAGTCACTTTGGTACCTGAACTGCTTAAAAATGAAGCTGTTTTATGTTTCACCTCTTTACTGTTTTAAACCGACTCCACAGGTTAAAATTTTTTTAAGTTCGCTGCTCTTTATGCTTTGAAAGTAACATTTATAAAATATACACACTGTACTTTAATTTTAAAATCCATTTTTGAGAAAGGAAAGTGTCATAGTGTTTTGTAATAAATTGCATTACAGCATGGCCAGATGCCCTTGCCCGGGAGGGCCCAGCCAGGTGCCCAGTGCACCCATCTCTCACCTGCTCTTCACACCTTTCTCTGCACAGTTTCTCCTTTTAGTCGGATTTCCCTTTTACTCTCCATGTTCCTTTGGTCTTCTGCGCATTTTCTCTTTCTCACACACTTTTCTTTTTAATTCTATTTCCCACCCCCATCCCCCCACACCCCTACCCCTGCCCCAACGTAGGCTCTGCTTTGGGCATTAACAACCACCATTGATGCCACTGTGGGTCTTTGTGTTGTCCCTGCAGGCTACCGGGCTGCCTTGCTGGTTACTGAGCCCACACAGCTCGCACTTCCTGGAGCGACAGTGTGCACTTTGGAGAGATGGCTATGTTTTATGAGTCCACCTTTCCTTCTCTTACTTTGTGGGCCACATGGTGTCACTTGACATGTAGTAGTCACTCAGTAACCAGTGGTCAGACTGTCAAGTGGGATGTGTGACTATTAGAGGAAAATGATAGTTTTTGATATTTTTAAAACCCCTTGTTGTCTGATGCTGGCTGTGAGAACTAGGTATACTGCTGACGTTTCTCCACAAGGTGGCATTGCCCTGCTCTGAAATAAGCAAGGTTATTGTTATCTGCTTTTCTCATGTTTTCCTTCTGTAAAACATTATGAACCGGATGGTGACATTACTGGTTTTGTTTTGTCCTCTTGAAAGGGTGAAAGTGTCTTTAGCTAAAACCCACCTTACTGTTTTATTTTCAATTGTTAATAGCTAAACCATACAGAAAATGAGTACTCCATTAAAGAAAAGCTTATAAATTAGTAGTTTGAGATTGAGAGAGGAGAGAATATGGGTGTGTCTGCGAGTTTATGGATACATTGATCTTGCCAT